CCCCCCCAGCTTACCTGCTTCCTGCTTCCCGCGAATCAAATGTTCGCGGGAAGCAGGGGAGGGGGCGGAGTTGGGGCGGGGACTTTGTCGAAGGAGCGGAGTTGGGGCGGGGGCATGGGCGGGGCTGGGGGCGGGGCCGGGGCTGGGGCCCCATGGAGTGTCCTCCTTTAGGAGGCTCCAAATATGGTAACCCTAGTTTTACGGGCTGGCTGAGAGTCACTGTGAATCTCAGGAAGAGGGGTGCAGGGCCCTGACTCCCCCACACTCCGTGACAGGGTGAGGGGGGGATTTTCCATTGTCCTGAATGGGAGCTGTGGGGTGTGAGCTCCTTTGAAGACATGGCTGCATGGGAGGTGGCAGAACTGCGGGTGCATCGGATACCTGTGCCGCCTTGCCCAGGGGCAGCGCTCGCTGGATTTGCTGTGCAGGCCATAAGGGGACCTGGGGTTGCAGGTCCCTGGGTGGCAGTCCTCTCAGATCGTGTGAGGAAAGCAGGGCCGGGCTGGGGTCACCACTCGGAGGGGAACCCTGGCCCTGTCAGGTGCAGTAGGGCAGGGTCTTCCCCTGGAATAATGTCAGAGTGTAACACTAGGGGGTGCTGACCTGCCACTGCCGGGGTGACCAGGTTGGTCACCAGCAATCCCATGGGGATGCAGGCGCCAGGCTGATCAAGCAGTGACAGCAGAATCCGGAGGTTGCAGGTGATGCTGAAGTGGGAACTGGGGGTTGGCGTCAGCTGGGGGAGCCAGGAGACAATGCAAAGGGTCTCGGAGAGGTTAGACACGCAGGCAGGAGCTGACAACCAGCACAGTATCGCATGGAGACGTGCAGACAGGCCTGCCCAGCAGTGCCCATAGACGCTCTGATTGGAAAACCAAGGGCTTTGATCCGCAAGAATCCACGCTAGTTTCCCCACATGCCCCCTCGCTCTAGCCCTGGGGTTTCCCTATTTAATACCAAAGACCCGAATGGACCCAGGAAAATGGAGACAGTGACACACGGGCCGTCGCTCATATTAGGGGTTAGCTCGACCCCGGTGCAGCCGCCCCCGTGACAGCTCCTCCCTCCCCCAAGAGTCAGTCCGGGGGCCTCCAAGCTCTCGCCACCTCGCTCACTGGGATTGTTGCTGCAGGAAGCAGAGGCACCTGCTGGGGTGTGCTCTCGCCCCATGCCCGAGCAATGGGGCACCAGCAGAGCTGTGGCAGGGAGCCCAGGACTGGGCTAGCAGGGGCTGTGGGTCGGGATTGAGGGGCACTGGCAGAGCTGGGGGGAGCCCAGGGCTGGGCTGGCAGGGGCTGTGGGTCGGGATTGAGGGGCACTTGCAGATCTGGGGGTGGGGAGCCCAGGACTGGGCTGGCAGGGGCTGTGGGTGAGAGTGAGGGGCACAGATTGCTCACCCCCAGCCAGTTCGTGGCTGTGCCTGTTTCCTGACCGTGGGCCTGGCTCCGGTCCCCGCGGGCCCCTCTCTTGGCGCTCCGCCTGGCAGGGTGAAGACGTACCCGCGGGAGGCGCAGCTCAGCCGGGAAACCATTCGTGCACTCACGCACTACGCGCTGAAGGTGTGGAGCGAGGCCGCCCCGCTCACCTTCCACGAGGTGGGCGGGCCCAGCGCCGATATCTCGGTGGAGTTCCTGCGCCTGGACCACCAGGACGGCTACCCCTTCGACGGGCCGGGGGGCATGGTGGCCCACGCCTTCTTCCCCGGGGACCCCCAGCGCGCCGGCCATGTGCACTTCGACAGCGACGAGGACTGGACCTTCCGCTCGCCAGGTGGGCCCTGGGACAGGGAGGGAGCGCCCTGTCCGGGCCCGCCTCTCCCCTCACTAATGCCAGGCTCCTCACTCCCCCGTTCCCCTTGCAGACGACTACGGGACAGATCTCTTTGCTGTGGCCGTGCATGAGTTTGGTCACAGCCTGGGCCTGGCGCACTCGCCCTCCAAGCACTCCATCATGCGCCCGTATTACCAGGGCCCGGTGGGCGACCCGCTGCAGTACCAGCTGCAGGCTGATGACCACGTGGACATCCAGAGGCTCTACGGTATGTCGGGGCGGGACTGGGGTGGGAGCCCTCTCTGCCCGGCTCTAATGCCAGGCTGTGTCTCCGGGACGGTCTCCAAGCCAGAGCCCGGATTCTGTGCCCAGCTGTTGCAAACAGGCCTCTGAAAGAGGACTAGCACCGGTGGGGTGGCCAATCCGGCAAGTCTGTGTCCCATGCACCGAGCTAGCGCTGGATGAGCTGAACTTGGAGCTCGTTTTTGGGGTGCACTGCCATCTCATGGGAGAGCAGAGCTGGGACCATCCCCAGTGTGGATAAAGCAGCTGTCGGGGTGGGGCTGCTGCCCAGAGAGGCTGCGCTGACCTGCAGCTCGTTGTGGGGGGCTGAGAGCTGGCTCGCTGCAGGATGTGGCGGCTGGACTGTGGGGAGGCTGATGGCCATATGCTCTCACCCGCATCCAGGGAGCCGTGTTCTGCATTCCACAGAGAAGCCAGAGGCATCGTCGCTGCTCCCGGACCCGCCCTCGCTGCCCCACGACTTCCCTGCCTTGAGGTGAGCCAAGACCATCCCTTTTCCCTCCCCACCCTGCACTCAGACCCCCTCACGCGGGTGTGGGCCTGGCCTGGCTGGGATCCCCAGGGGTCAGCTAGCAGCTCCCACTGTCCCCAGCGGGTTCCGTGGTGTATCCAGTTCATTCAGAATCGGGGAACCCCTGGTTCTAGGCCTGTGCGCTGAGCGGCCCCTGGCCGAATCCAGAGTCAGGTGAATGGGCAGCACGCTGGCAAATGTAAGTCAGTGTCGGCACGTGCCACTGACACCTAGCAGGGTCCTGGGTTAACAGCATCCTCTCAGGAAAGGGACCTGGGCACCATCTCAGAGGGGTCAGGAAAACGATCCAGGGCTGGAGACGTTCTCCTCTGAAGTGGGACTGAAACGATGGGGGAGGTCTCCCATAGAAAGAGACGAGTAAGAGAGGGCAGGATAAATGTACCTAAAATCACAGCTGGTTTAGAGGAGGAGGAGCGAGGGCGTCCGTTCTCATGGAGCAGGGGTGGCCAACCTGGGGCTCCGGAGCCACATGCGGCTCTTCAGAAGTTAATATGCGACTCCTTGTCTAGGCACCGACTCCTGGGCTGGAGCTACAGAGGCCAACTTTCCAATGTGCTGGGGGGTGCTCACTGCTCAACCCCTGGCTCTGCCACGGACCCTGCCCCCACTCCACCCCTTCCCACCCCCTCCCTGAGCCTGCCGTGCCCTCATTCCTCTCACCCCCACTCCGAGCCTCCTGCACGCCAGGAAGCAGCTGATTGGGAGGTGTAGGGAAGGAACGGGAGGCACTGATCAGCGGGGCTGCTGGTGGGCGTGAGGCGCTGGGAGGGGGGAGTGATGGGGGGCTGCTGACGTATTACTGTGGCTCTTTGGCAATGTACATTGGTAAATTCTGGCTCCTTCTCAGGCTCAGGTTGGCCACCCCTGCCAAAGAGCAGGGGGATGTTCAGTGGAGTTGAAAGGTGGGAATTCAGCACTGCTACGGGGGAAAACACTTTCACACAGTGTGATGAGCCTGTGGAACTCATTGCCACAAGATGTCAGTGAGGCCAAGACTCAGCCGGAATCCAGCAGGGGCTGGGTGTTTCTGTGGATAAACTGGACTCTCCAGAGTTATCACAGTTAAGGATGATAACATTTTTGGAAGGCCTCATAAACCTGCCCATCTCTAACTACTGGAGACCTAAAGTGGGGGACAGATTGTCCCCCACCTGCAACTGCAGGATTCCTACACCTCAGGACACTGGGCTAGATGGACCTCAGGTCTGACTCTGTCTGGCAAACCTAGGCCCCTGTGGGGTTTGCAGCCGTGCTGTCAGGTGGGAGTAGGGCTAGCGAGGTGTGGGGCCCCATGGGGCGACACGATGCAGGTACAGCCTCAGCCCCAGCCTCTCTGCCAGGCTGGGGGTATTTCCATGGCTCTGCCTGCCCCCGGGCCCCGTGGGAGGGCAGGAGGGGAGCTGACCGCGTGCTGCTGACACGCTCCCCGCTGCCGTGGCAGGTCGGAGAAGGAGTTCCCGGATCGCTGCTCCTCCAGCATTGACGCCGTCGCCCAGATCCGCGGGGAAACCTTTTTTTTCAAAGGTCTGTCCCTGCGCGTGGGGGGTTGGCCCATTGCACTCTGTGTGGAACCAGCCGGCTCCCTCTGCCCCACGGGGGATGGGGGGAACAAGCTGGTATTATGATGTAGTGGGGTGACCCCGGCGCCTGTGGGACCAGCTGCCTCTTCGCCCTGTGGCGGGGGGCAGCTCCCCAGGCAAAAGCCGAGGGCTGGGCCTGTGGGAGCACAACCTCCAGCAGGGGGTACGCTCCAAGGCTGGGGGGGCGGCGCTGCCTGGGGTGGGATGTGGATGGGGTGCAGTGGGGAGGGCATCCCGGCGAGTGTGGGAAGAGACAGGGTGGAGGTTCCCCTGTGTCCCTGCCCTCCTCCCTCCCCGCCCATGCTGCCAGACCCGCCCCTTCCCTCCCTGTTCTCTCAGGGGCCCCAGCCCTTGCCCCATGGGGCCCCCGGCCAGGCTGCTGTGCCAATAGCCCCATACGCCTGGCAGCCCTGTGCCGCCTCCATGCCCCAGGCCTTCCCCAGCTCCCAGCTGTAGGCAGGAAAAGGCCCCTTGTCCGTCAGCTCCAGAGGGCGGCCACACCACCTCCTCGTGCCCCTGGCTTGGGAGAGGCTTTTCCCGAGGGGCAAGGGGCTGGCAGGGGGGCAGGGGGCTGAGTCTGTCCCTGGCTGAGGGGCTCTGCTCAGCCACCCCAGCAGCTGCCCCCACACAATACCCGCGCTCGAGGGGTTGCGCCAGATTCGACTCTGGGCGCTGGCCATGCCTGGCCAAACCATGCCCAGCCCGGGGCCCATCTCTCCCCTGGGCCCCTCAGCGCTGCATGGCCGGGGGCTTTCCTTGAATGGGGGGCCCCAGCTGTGGCATCCACTCTCCCGGGACTGATGCTGCTGAGCACAGGGGGCAGCCGCTAACCCCCTGTCTCTCCCCCCCCTCCCCCCCCCCCCCCCCCCGAGCCAGGTCAGTACTTCTGGCGTCTGACCCACGGCCGGCACCTCACCTCCCTGCGCCCCGCCCTGAGCGCGGCTTTCTGGCGCGGTCTGCCCCGCAGCCTGGGCAAAGTGGACGCCGTTTACGAGAGGCACACAGACCATCGGATCCTCTTCTTCAGTGGTGAGCGCCGGGGGCACGGGGCAGCAAGAGCGACGGGCACCGCAGGGCCAGCCGGGGCATGGCGAGGAGCCGTCCTGCGCCCTGGGGTGGAACGCACCCTCATGCCGCCCTTGCAGGCTCAGCCACCCCCTGGCAGCCCACGCCAGGCACCCTTGGGTGGGGCTGCAGGACCACCACAAACGATCCCCCTGCATCTCATCTTCTCCTGGTTCAGAGCTGAGTGGAGAGGCCTCTGTAGGGGAATGGGGCGGGTCCCCCAGCTGTCTCCTGTGCCCCAGCTGCTCCCTTCAGCGCCAGGCTGCTTGGCACCTGCTCACTGCCCCCCCTCTCCCTCAGGGCCCCTCTACTGGGTGTTTAAGGACAACGGTGTGGAGGAGGGGTTCCCGCGCCCCGTCACGGACTTCGGCCTGCCCCAGGGGGGAGTGGACGCCGCCTTCTCGCGGCCTCACGACCGGAAAACCTACTTCTTCAAGGGCGGGCTGCAGTGGTCCTACGACGAGGCCACGGGGCGCATGGACGAGGGGTCCCCCACCCACACTGCGCTCAGGGGGCAGCTCCCCACCCCCGTGGATGACATGCTGAGCGGGAGTGATGGTGAGTCGCCCCCCTCACTCCGGCCCCCTGCCTCGTGGTGATTCAGCCCCTCAGTTCCTGTGTGTGAAAGGGGACCCCACCTTTGTCCCATGGAGACTCCCCCCCCCCTCGCCCCCCCCCCCCCCCCCCCCAAGTAAAGGGTTACCCCCTGTGCCCTATGGAGACTCCCTGCTCTGTGTCTCCACCCCCCACCAGTTCCCGCGTGTTAAAGGGGACCCCTTGTGCCCTCTCCCCCAGCCTTTAGCCACTCGCAGAGCCCTGACACGCTCGTGACGCCTGTCTCCCTGCAGGAGAGGTCTATGCCTTCAAGGGCCGGCAGTACTGGAAGCTGGAGCGGCACAGCCTCAAGCTGGAGACGGGTTACCCTCGCTCCATTGCCAGGGACTGGCTGGACTGCAGCGGGGAGCTCTACCCGCCACCGAGCGCCCCCACCAGCCCCCCCACGGGAGCCAAGCTGCAGCCGGACTGGCGAGGCCCCCCGCTGGAGGTGGAGCGCTGCGTGTGCCTCAGCTCGGCCCCCCGCGCCATGCTCGGCTGGACGCTGGCAGTGCTGCTGCTGCTGCGAGGGCTTGGCTAGGCTGCCAGCTGGGGCCGCCCACGCCCTGCAGACTAGCCCTGGGGGCAGCAGGCCAGGCCAGGGTGCTGATGGGGGACCCCTCATCCCCGAAGGGTCGGCCCTGCAGGCTGGGTTCGGGTGCAGGGAATCTGCAGGGGTTTGAGGCCTGGGCAGCATGAATACCCGCGAGTCAGGGCGTTCCCTGGGGCGGCCCGCAGCGCTCTGTCTGCGGGCAGCGGCATGGGACGGGTCCCCGGGTGAGCGGCCGGGCGGGCTTGGCCAGCCTGTCCTGTGCTTGCTAACCGCCCGCCGGGGCAGAGCTGGGGCAGGAGCACAGACCCCCTCCGCTCGCTCGGGGAAAGGGACAAGCACTAACGGCCTTCAGCCTCTCGTGGCTGGGTGGGAGGGTGCTGTGTCCTGCAGATGTCAGCCGCACCCGCAGAGAGTGCAGGGGGCCGGGTGACGGGCCCTCCGTGATCCGCTCACTATGATGCCAGCTCCTGCCGCGGGGCACCAGCTCTCTGTCGCCCTGACTTCCCCCTTCATTACCCCAGCTCTCTGTCCCCTCAACTTCTGTGTCCCCATCTCCCTGCCCCCCCCCCACTCTCTGACCATCGCCCCAGCTCCCCCCTGCCAGCCTCCCTTGCTTCAGGTCCCCTCAGCGCTGACCCGGGGGCAGGAATGGAGAGGAGGGGCGGATGCTCCACTCCAGCTTAGCTTGCAGACCAGGAAGCTAAATTATACACCAGGTGCCCTGTGGCCTGGGCCTGCCCCATGCCCTGCCAGCTCCCAGCCGGCCTCTGTGCTCTGGGGGTGGTGCTCAGCGCCCAGGGGCCGTGTCCCCCCGGCAGCGAGAGAAAGTCCCTGCCCCATGAGCACTGCTAGCTCCCTCCTCCCTTCCCTCCCGCTTCCTCCAGGGCTTTCTCCGAGTCCCATGAAGCCGCTGGCCCCACTGCGGCGCTGGGCAAACAGCCCCAATGTGCCCAAAATGACCCAGGAGCCCCGAGCAGCCGCTGCCGCCTGCCCCTGGGATGGGACCCGGCCCTTTGCCCTCCTGCCCAGAGGGGACTTCCTCCCCCTGGCCCTTCCATGGGGTGGCAGGTCGAAGGGGCCCCGGGGCCTGTATCTGCTCAGTGCTTCTCTTGCCCAGCCCGAGCCCTGCTGGGCCAGTGCGTTTGCACACCCGTCCACGTCCCCAGGGCTGCCCTCCGGCCTGGGGGCAGAGGTGAAGCCGGCCACAGCCGCGTGAGGCCCAGAGTGGGAGCAGCCTCGAGCCAGCACTTCTGTTAGAACCAGGCCAACCAATGGCTTGTGGTGCCCGTGCCCCAGGCTATGAGTCCCTGGCCCCGTAGCAAGGCTCCCCCCTTTGAAGCATCTGGTGCTGGCCCTGTTCAGAGACAGGCCCCCAGGCTGCAAGGGGCAGCTCTAGAGCAGAGAGCCCTATGGCCTCCGGTCGCTGGCTCCAGCCCTGGGCAGCCTCCCACAGTAACAGACTGTAGCTGGACTCTGCTAAACCCTGCCCCACCTCCCACATGAGCTCCCCAGAGCCTGGCCCCTCTCTCCATCCCCTGCCTTAGCCTGGATCTGCTGAGCGGCCGTGGCCTCTCGCAGTCCCCCCCTCGCAGGATCTCTCCGGCATGCGGCGGCCAAACACCGCTCAGCCTCTGCCCAGCCGGGAGATGCTACGTTAGCTCCTGGGCGCCTTCAGCGTCAGTGCCTGGGAGCCGCCCCCCGGCCATCTGATCCCTCGCTTGGGGACCCTCATTCCCCACATCTCTCCCCGTGGGCGGCTGTCACGTCTCAGGCCTGGACTGGCGCACACACTCCCGGAGGCCAGGAGCTGCCATCGCTGCTTGGCACCGGGGCTGAGGGGGAAAATGGCACCGTGCCTGGTTCCAGGCCCTGCCCTTCCAAATCTCTCTCCAGCCCCCCCCCACGAGGGCAGAGCAAAGGCCGCAGCCGCCCCGGACGATGGAAGGAGGCGAGAGGAGGCAGACGGGTCCCCGTGCAGGTCATTTAATGAGATGCCTGGTGGCTACAGAGCGGAGGGCAGGCCCGGAGACGAAGCAGCGCCGGGCAGCCTTGGGGCAGGCCCCAGGTTCACTTCCAGCTCGCGAAGAACTGCCTGAAGAGGGGACTCTCACGGCCCTGGGGCAGGATCTCCACCTGCAGCCAACAGGGGGACAGAGACTGGTGAGGTGGGGAGAGTCCCGTGCTCCTAGCATGAGGAGGGGGGCATGGTGGGGTCCCAAAGACACCCCCCTTGCATGGGAGGAGAGATCTGCCTTGGGGTGAAGGGCCCTGGGAACCATCTCTGTGCTCTCTGTGGGGGGAAGCCAGGCCGGGGCAGAGAGCCCAGCAAAGGCCCAGAGACACCCAGAGATGTCCTGATTTTATAGTGACAGTCCCAATATTCAGGGTTTTTTCTGATACAGGCACCTATTACCCCTGACACTCTGTCCTGATTTTTCACACTTGGTATCTGGTCACCCTACTGGCAGGGAGCCCCCCATCACCTCCCCACTTCCCTTCCCCACCCCCCCAGGAGCCCGCTGAGGCCCAGCGCTCACTCACCTGGGTCTTTGGGGAATACTTCATACGGGAGATGAAATCCTCAGCCACTTTCAGGGCTGCCTCCCGTTCCTGCTGGTTGGCTTTGCGCCCTGGCCGGGAGGGAGGGGAGCGTCAGAGCAGCCGATCCCCCGCACAGAGGGGACAAGTCTGGGGGGACAGGGCTGAGTGCTCTGCTGAGCACCCCTGGCACTGGGGGAGGTGCCCAGGGTCCGGTGCTAACCCTGGGCAGAGTGACTGTGGGGCAGATGCAGAGGGCAGGGATGGAGAACAGGCCAGTGGGAAGGAGCAGGGCCAGGCCAGGGCTGGCAGGATCCCTGGGTGCAGATCACCCTGGCTCCCTTGCTGGGGACTCAGCCCAGGGGCTCAAACCGCAGCGGGGTTGCTCAGCTGAAGCAGGAAGCCCAATGGGCGGAGGGCTGCTAGTGGGGAACGCCCATGCAGGCAGAGGAGGAAGGTGGCAGCATGGCCGGGCAGTGAGAACACGGCTGCGGTGCCTCCATCCGTCCCCCGCCACCGGGCCGTGAGCTCTGGCCAATAGGGGGATCAGCCCCACCAGCCATGGGGGCAGAGCTCGGGGCACAGAGAGAGCGGGAAATGCCCTTGTGTGGCCCGTCTGGTGTGGAGTCTGCCCCCCCCGAGGGTGGGGTAAGCAGGGCGCTAGGCTTGGGGAGGGGAAGAAAGCGGGGCATCTCCTGCCCCGTTCTGGGGAATGCCTACCCACTGGAGCCCCTGAGACACGGAGAGGGGCTTTCAGACCGGCCGGAGCCTGGGGAGGGAAGATGGGTCAGTGGGGGGGAGGGGAGAGTGGTCCCTGAGTTCCTTGGGTGCCAGGCATGGAACGGAGAAGCTTGCCAGCTGCCCTGATGGCAGAGATAGGCAGGGCCTGGCGTGGCAGAGCCTGGCGCAGGGGCAGCCGTGAGGGGACCACGGTGAAACAGCTTCCGCTCAGCCAGGCAGGTGCAGACCGGGAGCTTTCGCCAGCCAGCAGGGCGGTCCCACGTGCAAAGCCAGGTAGGGGTGTATACCGCGCGGGCAGCGCGCATGAGGGACTGCCTGAGGCCTGCCCAGGGACTGGGTGTGACGTTCCTGCAGCGCTGACTGTAGTGCACCGGGCTGCTGCATGGCCCTATGCCAAGAGCCGCAAGCTACACGGTGACGGCCGAGACAGTGACCCTCCCGGTGGGCCAGGTGCCATCGCTGACTCGCGAGAACGGCTGCCATTTTCCAGAGCAACGAGGCCCAGCTCCTGAATGGAATTCCAGCGCCTAATTCCCATTGACTGCAGTGAGTTAGGTGCCTAAATCCCTTTGAGGATCTAGCCTGGGAGGGAAGGGGGGAGCTTCACTTGGCTCCATACCCCGCTCCACATTTTCAGGCACTGCTGAAAACCCAGACCCCTTGAAAGGCAGCTCCAGATGGGACCCCAAGCTGGCTTCTGAAAGCCTTGGCTGCTGGCGGTGGGCATGGGCTCCACCTCGGAGGGGAAGATGGCAGAGGGGCTACGCCGGCTCTGGATGAGGGGTCAGTGGGGAGCTCATGGGCAGGACAAGCAGGGAAATCCTGGCCCAACCCTTCCTAGAGCCAGCGGAACCCGCAAGAGACTGACTCGCGAGGGGTTCGGCCACCTGGATCCCTACGGGCGGGACGGGACAGCTCGGTAAGCGGCACCCGTGCTCTGCCCTGCACCCTGCCTGGTGCCCCCTGCCACAGTGCATTAAAGCCAGCTGTGTGTACACTGAAAGCTACTGCTGCTGCTTGCCACAGGGATGTTCTGCGAAGGGGAAGGGAGGTGGGGCTGGGTGTGGGGTGAAGGGGAGGAAAGGTGGGGTTAGGGACATGGGTAGAAAGGGAAGTGGGGCTGGGTGTGGGGTGAGTGGGAGGAGAGGTGGGGCTGGGGGCATGGCGGGTGGGAAGGGGGGTGGGGTGAATGGGAGAAGAGGTGGGGTTGGGGCACCCCCCAACTGAGGCTCGCTGGTACCACCCGGGCCGTGCGTCTGCAGAGCCAGCTGGCCCCCTGCGAGCGGGCCGTGCCCGGGGGCCGGTACCTTTCCACACGTAGATCTTGCCGCACTGGCCATTGTCCAGGACGAAGCAGTCGTCGGTGCAGAGCAGGCCCTGGCTGAAGGGGCTGCTCCCGGACACCTTGGTTAGGTTCATCTTCCCCGTCGCGTCCGACACCTGCCGGGGACAGGGAGAGGCGGATCCCTTCAGCGCCCTTCCCCCTACGTTGCCGAACCCATCCCAGGGAGCACAGGCCCCTGCTCCACAGCCCCCACCCAACACTCGGCCCTGCTCCACGGCCCCCCAGCCTGCAGCCTCAGCCCTGCTACCCAGCCCCCAGCATGCACCATGGCCCTCCCAGCCTGCAGCTCCTAGCCGCCCCCAGCCCACACCGCAGCCCCCACCCCTGCAGCCCCAGCGCCTCCCCAGCCTCCAGCCTGCACCATAGCCCCCACCCCCACAGCCTCAGCCCTGCTCCCCAGCCTGCACCACAGCCTGCAGCCCCAGCCCCTCCCCACTTCAGCCCCAGCCCTGCTCCCCGGTGCCCCGCTGTGCCCAGCCCGTGGCGGGGTGCCCTGCCCATGGTGGCGCGGGAGCTCTGAAGATGGGGCGGGGGGGGGGGAGCCTTGCCTTATAGAGAGCAGCTGCCCCCGCGTTCTTCTGATCCGCCGTGACGTCCTCCTCGGGGCTGCCCTGCCTCAGAGAAGGCTTGGGACCCAGCACCTAGGGAAAGGAGAAATCCTTCAGAGCCAGCACCACCACACCTTCCCCCCCACCCCGGCTCCAGCCCGTCCCCTCTGCCCCCTCCCCAATCCCAGCCCCACCCCCATGCCCTGAGCCCTCCCCGGATCCGCCCTGGCAGGACCAGAGCAACAAGGGCCCCGCTTCCAGCCCTGCTGGCCAGACCTGGATCATCTCGGGCGGCTCCTCCCCGTCGGACACGATCTCCACCCGGGCCTTGCCCTGCCGCTCGCTGTCCCGGATGGCCAGCGCCAGGTCCCGGGCCTTGTTGCGCTCCAGGATGTTGGATGTCTCCCCGCACCACGTGTAGATGGTCTGAGAGGAGAGAGGGGCACGCATGGAAATACACCTGCCTGCCAGCGCCCGGGCTCCCTACCGCACCCCCTCGCCTGCCAACCTCCCTGCTACCCACCTAGCAATGCCAATGCCGCCAC